GAAGTGCTCGCAGTCTGGATATGAATTATTTATTAATAAATTCAGTTTTACTAACAATAAAAGTTTATCTTCTAATCTATAAGTTATGTAATATGGTTCATTAGCAACCTACAAACAACCTGGTCATTTAAGTTCAATGATAAAGTGCATAAAAAGCACTTTATTGATATATTATTTAATATAATATAATATTAATTTAATAAAAATTGAGATTTTATTATACACTGGCTTTATACACTACTTTACACAACTTTTATACAAACAATTTTAATTTTAATATTAAATCACATAATAATATTAAATAAATTTACAAGTACATCCTATAATTTGCATTTAAAATTAAGAATAATGAATATTCAGGCAACTTTTGTAAAGTTTTGAGATTACCTGTATACCTGTACAGATAGTTTCTGCTACCGGTAATGCCCTCTCTATTCACATAATACAACTATATTTACTATCTTATTTGTTCAATGAGCCAATACTCCACAAATAACGTGCGTGTAATATGAGGGGTGGGAAGCATTGCAATGAGTAAACAATAGGCAAATTACAAATAAGCGCCAAAAAAGTGTTGATTTTAATTCACGTAATATACGAATGAATATATGACTGAAAACACGATTTTTTCATTGAGTCGTAAACTTATGTTTTGTTTTCATTTAAATTGCATTTGAATTGCATTTGAATTTCGCGATTCATTTGATTTGATTTAATTGTTTGTATACTAAAGACAACTGAAGAGCCAAAATGCCGCCGAAGAAGGACTCGGGCGCGAGTAAGAAGACTGAGATCAAGAAGAAGGAGAAGATAATCGAGGTATGCGTTCAGCCATTGATTGTTTGCCACACTTTTGCCACACTTTTGCCACACTTTTGGCTCATTTATTGATTGACTTGTGTCGCGAAACCATAGGACAAGACGTTTGGTCTGAAGAATAAAAAGGGAACCAAACAGCAGAAGTTCATACAACAGGTGGCGAATCAAGTCAAACAGCAGGGTCTGCCCAAAAAGGTACGATTGGCCGCCACTTATCTCACTGAGTGTCCCATTAATGGTGTGTTTGCGTGACTTTAGGGTGAAATAGCGCCGAACACAGCGGTCGTCAAGAAGGAGGAGAAGAAGAAGCAGTTGGAAGAGTTGAACGCATTGTTCCGTCCGGTGACGGCCGCACAGAAGGTGGACAAAGGGGTGGACCCGAAGTCGGTGTTGTGCGCCTTCTTCAAGTCGGGTCAGTGCGGGAAAGGAGACAAATGTAAGTTCAGTCACGACGTGACCGTTGAGCGCAAGTCCGAGAAGAAGAACGTCTACGTCGACGCCCGACAGGAGGACACTATGGATGACTGGGACGACGAGAAGCTCAAAGAAGTGGTCGAGAAGAAGGAGAACGAGAGGAAGGGGTTGCCCACCACTGACATCATCTGCAAGCACTTCATCGA